AAGTAATACTAATTAATAGTATAATATAGTTTAGTTTAATTAATATGTATATAATTAATATATAAATCATACATTTCATTTTAATTTAATTCATTATATTATAATTCATTATAATATAATAATTTCGATTCAATTCATTTCATCTTTAAGATATATAGAAAGAGAGAGAGAGAGAAAGAGATTCTATAATTACTTCATTTTTTCCCCTATAAATGAAAGTATCTAGATAGTAAAAGGGTGAAAGAGATAATAATAATGATGGAATTTAATTTAAACTATAATATTAGATAGATTATGAAAACGAAAAAGAGGGAGGGAAAGAGAAAGAATAATATATTATTTTGTTTTATTAATATATTAATCAATAATAAGAGTAATAATCAACGGGCTATTAAGTTGAACCTCTTATTTTCTAATCATTCCTATTTTAGACTACTCATTTACATTAAAAATTACTTCTTTAACTTATTAATATCTTTTTCAAAATATAATTGAAAGTTTACTATTGGAACACGTGACTAGAGGCGTAACATGATATATCATACTTTACTTTATATATATACTCTGTATATAAGCGGGGTAGTCATATATATATAGATAGTAAGTTTCTTTTTATATGAAGAGAGTAGACAGAATTACAAATATCTTAAAACCCTATACGCTTTATATATATACCTTATTAAGTCTACTCAACATTTACCTTCTTAATAATCTTATTATTTGTAAGAATTAAAGTATTATATATGTATAAAAGTTAATTCGTTTAGTTTGAGATTCGATTCAAGCAATGTAATTAGTTTAAATCTTTATATATAATATTCTTAGTGTTATAGTGTTGTGATTGAAAATAATTTTCTAATAATAGATTCTTTTATTAAATTTAACTTCAATTAAATGAAAAAAAAGATAATTATATAGAATAAACTAAGGGCTTTTAGTTAATTTAATTTTTTTAGTACTAGTTTCAATATTAGGGTTTATATAATAAATTAAAGTTAAATTCTTGTAAGGACTTTAAAGCTTATATACTTAATATAAAAGAGGATATATTAAGTAAAGTAGGTTCTATTCTAATAAATTATTATCGTGTTTAAAACTTTCGTAGTATAGTAATATAATTATTGATTCGAATAAAAAGAATTAAAATGTGACCTATATATATTATATAATGAAATGTGATTTAAAATAAAATGATTAAATTGTAATTCTATAAAAAAAATTGTGAAAAATAAAAATAAAAATAATTCAAGAATATACCGACTTTGCCTGTAAGCATTTAATAAATCTCTTTTTAGATTTTTATAATTAGAAAAATTATTATACTATACTTTTTCAAAAGAACATGAAAAAACCCAAGAACAGTTTTTCTCGAAATAACTCTCTAATTTATATTATATTTAAATCAGGGAATTATTCTATACCTTTTTTTTTTGTAATTATTAAATTAGTATCTATTCGAATTAAATAATTAATATTATTAATAGTAATAGTAAATTCATAATCGATTCGGTCTATTTAGTTATACTAAGATCATATAATACACCTGTATAATTATGGTTCTAGATAAATAAAGTAGATGGGAAAAAGAAATAAAAATCCACCCCCTTTTAAACTTTTTTATTAAGATCTATAAGCAACCTCCCAAACAATCCTTTCAAATCCTTCAAATTACTTATATTATTGATCTGTTATATTTAAAAACCTTTCTCTTATTAAATCCTTTAATATATCTATAAAAACCTTATACTTTCTATTTTATTATAATAATCTTTTTCTTTTTATTCAACTTTTTTTAAAATATTATAAAAGTTATAATTAGTTATAATATTATATTCCTCTCAAAGAATTATCTTTGCCCTCTAATACTTCGAATTCTATAGGAATCTTATTATAACCTCTAATTCATTACTTATAAGCTTTATATTCATCTTCTTCTATAATATATTAGTAATATATAATTTCTTCTTAAAGCCTAATATCTCTCATTCTCTTTCCTTTTATTAGATTATCCTATTAATATAGGATAAAATATATTAGGGCTTATTAAATCATTCTATTAATATAAAGGACAAGATTATATTATAAAACTAAATAATTAAATAAAATCGAAATAGTAAATATAATAATATATATTCTATATTAAAGAATTACTACTTCTTTAATTATAATTAATAGTATATTATATATTATATAAAATGATATCGAAATCAATATTTTATAATAATATTATATATTAATATAAAGTATTATATATCTGAATCAATATATTATAAATGTTTTTCGAAAGGTTTGACTTTTCTTTTCATTTATATAGAGTAGTTATAAGCATATTAGTAGAATATCAAATATTATATTAATATATCTTTTGTAAAATATTTCTTGAAAAAAGTAAAACCTTTTAAAGAGTTTTCATCCTTTATTTTCTTATATCTAAGAACCTTCTTCTTTATAATTAAAACCCCCTTATAAGATCTTTAAGTATTGAAAAGCCTAAATCATTATAGGAATCTATAATTTAATCTTTTTATTAATTATATTCAATATAGTAAGCTTATTGTTAATGATATTAATATTAATAATTTTGATATGAGTATACTAAACCCTCTTTCCTAATACTAACAATAATATCTCTTTAATCCGAATAGGTATTAATTCAACAACTTTAGGAAGAGGTAGAGAATGATATTCTGATTCGAATATAGTAAAGATTAATAGGTTTTTCCAAGAAAATCTTTTCTTAATTTTTCGTGTGGTTTATATTACTAATATAAAAGAGGAAATATATTATATTTATATTGAATATTTAAAATGATTAATATTATTATCATATAAAATTATATTATATCAAATGAATTAATAAAAAGAACTCCTTAAAGACTTCTATAAGAATTCGAATTTTTTAATACTTAGTAGTTTTATAAAAGGGGTTTGTATATAAAGAAGAAGATTCTTGAATACATGAAAAATGAAGAAGGAAAGTCTTTTCAAAAAGTCTTATTTATTTTAAAAAATACTTTTAATGAGATTATCAGTATACAAAAATGAAATCTTTATATGATAAGTTACTTAAAAAGAAAGTAGTAATTCTTAATAATATAAAGTATATATTATATCAAAAATCGATATTATAATTTGTTTTATATTCATTATATTATTTGTTTCAGATTATTAATATATTAAATATAAATTAAGATTAATTATACAACTATTAACTTTCTTTGTTATAAAGCTTTAGAACCTTTTTATTAAAGGAATAGTATTAATAAAATGAAATAAAAATAAAGATAATAAATTTCGAATAGAATTTAGTTTCATTGAAGTATTAAAGAAAGAAGATTAGAAATGGAATATTTTATAGTATAAAATTGAAATTAGAATTATTAATATTATAAATAGGATTTAAAGAATTCAAGCGTTAATAATTTGAAAATGAAAACATTTTTGTAGTAAGATAATAATATATTAATTATAAGATTTGATATGTTAAAAGGAATTCAATAGAATAGATAGGAATAATAGAGATAGATATAAGAAGTAGGAGATTATAAAGATTATAAGAGAGTAAATAAGAAGATTAAAGGTTTTATAATATAATAGGACTTTACAATAGTAAACTTAAATAGGCTTTAGAGTAGGGTAGGTTTTTTTGTTATTTTTTGTTATTTACTTTATATAATTGAATATATATAGATATGTTAGTATAGCTTAGCTATAGATAGATTGAATTAATTAAGACTTTACTACTACTATACTTTTTCAAAGAGTAAGAAGTTCGAGGGCTTATAGACTCCTAATATAATTCATTAAAAATTTATATATATATAATTATAATCGTTTTAGACTTATTCATAAAAATTTCGATTTTTAATTTTTTTCTAAATAAAGATCTAAAGCCTCGAAATTTCGATTTTTAAATTTATATAGAAATTACATATAAATTTAAAACCTATTTTAAATCTGTTAGAACATGTGACTAGGAGCATGATATTACATGTTACGCTTTACTCTATAGTTATACATATTTCGTATAACGTGGTTTATCAGTACATACATTATATTAATATATGCACCAATTCAAAATATATTAAAATTAGTCTTTTATTAATATTTTTATTTAAATCATTAATCATTATTTTTTCTCTGAAAAAGTTTCCTTATGAATAATAAAAATAAAATATTTATAAAATTTAATCTTTTTATAGATATCTCAATTATAACTCAACAATATTATATTTTACATTACAAAAATCTATTTCTTTAAATAACTTTTTTATTATTATAAGATTTTACTATTTTAATTCATTTTTATATTATTTATATAGATAAATATAATATATATAAGGAAAAATTAAATTATATTAATAAATAAAGAAAGTATACGGTTATATACAGTCGTTTTTTATATATAAAAATAATGATGTATATACTAATATGATGTACGTACTAATAAACTACGTTATAAGTAAAGTTAGTATACATATGTATATAGTTAATAAGTTCTTTTTTATATGAAAAGAATAAATAGAATAAGATAATTCTTCTTACTCTTATATTTTATATATATATACCTTATTAAGTCTACTTAGTAAAATCTTTAATAACTTCTCAAATTATAATTAACAAAAAGAGATTGATTACTTTTTCAAAAGTATTAAGCTTAAATCTATGTAAAGAATCAGAAAAGAATTCAAAAAACTAATATTTTTAAAAATATAACTCAAATAAAAATAGATAATTCCTACAATTTTAATAATACTCCTATAAATACTTATATATTAATATTTTTATAATTTTTTTTAAATCTCTTATACCAGAAAAGGCGTAAGTTTATAATAAAAATTTATTTTTTATTTTTTATTAATTTATTCTTAAAAAGTTCTTAATCATTTACTTAAAAAATTATATATAATTCTTATACAAATTTAAAAGCCGATATTTTAAAGCTTTAAATCTCTATTCAAAGTAATTCTAAAAATTTGAAATTTTCAAAATAAACTTAAAATAACTTCAATTATAGATATACAAATTATCAATAAATTCTATTCAAAAATAAAAAGTTTTTTTGTTGATTTTAATAAGAAAAGATAGCCCCCTTGAAAAATGACTAGAAAATAAGAGGTTTAACTTATATCCCCATCTCGACATCCTAAAATAATACCGCAAAAGCCCACTAGGCCTCATCAGACGATCATATTGATTTTCTCACCATCTCTAAACCTTAGATAATCTCAAGAGTAATAATAAAAGATAATAGTTATCATCATCATTTACCGAATCTTATTTATCATTTACTTCCCCTCTTATTTCTCTCCGACTCCGCATCTGTTTGTACTCAAAACCCAATTTCACCGCCCAACTAAGTTACTCACTTATAGACAAATTACCTTCCCTGGTTCCGTAACCCTTAATCTTTAATCATAATCTCCTTTATCCGAATTTTGAACAAGTATATACCCAGCTTGATAGATCTACCCACTAAAGCAAGGTAGCTAGCCTAGTAAAACAATCTCGCCAGTAACGGTCAAAGGACTAACGGTCATCTCGCTTGCAGATACTCAGACGTCATACATACGATTTCTCGCTTCGAGTGCACCTTTAATAGCTAATTCCCAAGTTAGCAACCACTATATGTTCGAAACTCACACCCTTCCATCCATAAAGAAGAAATCAGAATCAGATAACTTACCATCACAACTATCCTTAGCATCACCAAAAAGCATCCTCGTACCCGGCATGTAAAACATAGGATTAACCACATCAGCATATCCACTTGCCATACCTCTCTTCATAACAATCACCTGTTTACTCTTCCAGGCATGTAATACAGGCATACCAGCAATACTAGAACCCCGTTCAAGAGCGATAGGATTGACAGTATCATTTGCACCAATGACAAGTGTTACATCTGTTTCTCCGAAATCATCATTGATTTCGTCCATTTCGAGTACAATATCGTATGGAACACTAGCTTCCGCAAGTAGAACATTGCATTGACCAGGCATGCGACCTGCGACGGGATGAATGGCGAAGCGGACATTAATACCTTTACTCTTAAGCATTCGGGTGATATCGCTGATAGCATATTGAGCTTTTGCGACTGCCATACCATATCCAACGACGATGATAACACTTTCGGCATTTTCCAGGGATTCCACGACTTCATCGATATTGGTTTTGGTGATTTGTCCTTCAATTTTATGCTCAGTCTCCGTGCTAGGAGCTATTCCTCCAAATAGAACGTTTCCGATAGATCGATTCATCCCGACACACATAATAGAAGATAGGATTGAACCACTAACTCCTATCAAAGAGCCAACTGTCGTTAAAAGCGGCATATCGAGCATGAAACCTTCAGATACAATTGCGAATCCGGAATATGCGTTAAGCACGGTAATAACAACAGGCATATCTGCTCCACCAATAGCAGCAGTAGTTGTGTAACCTTTAATAAAACTGAGAACTGCATTACCACCCAAGCAACAAGCCGCAATCACTGGCGCAGCAGGTGCAAAAGTAATGAAGGCTGCCATATTAGCCATGTTGAGAGCAAGTAGAGTAGAGTTTACTGAATGTTTGGGACCTGGTAGCCTAATTGGTTTGGAAGACATCCGACCAGCAAGTTTGAGGTAAGCTACAATCGATCCGGTAAACGTAACACCACCTAGCAGAAGTTAGAAAAGAATGAAGAAAATAAGAGTTGATTTTACTTACCAATGAGAACACCCATATACCCAGCTATGAGGTGAAGTTGTGAGATGTCACCAATATCTGCCATGACTGATCCGAAACTGGTCAAAACAGCAGCAAGACCAACCACAGAATGAAGTGCCGCGACAGTTTGAGGTAGATCAGTTGCGGTCGTCCGTCGTCCAATCCTCAATCCTATTACGAACAATTGTGAGTTGATTAATCTTTTTACACACAAGAAAAAAATAGCTACTCACCGATTAAGGCCCCGCAGCCAGCTACAGCTGCGAATTGTGCAAGTACTTCGACAGGGAGTCCAACCGCGGCTAGAGATGCAAGCATACCTACTCCAACACCCAAAATACCCAAAAGATTACCTTGCCGCGCCGTCGTCTGAGAAGCAAGACCAGATAATGATGCTAGTAAAAGTTAGCAGTCATTCCGTTAAAAAGTTCAAAATGTGGATTTACCAATGCATAGAAGACTGCTAGCGATATATCCTGCTTGAACAAGTCCAGCCATGCCAGTGGATGCAGCGGCGATATACCCGGCACCAAAAACAACAGCAGGTACAGCATATAACCATGGGTATTCCTTTGGATCGGTTGGTCCTGTGAGAAGTCAGCTAAGCGGCATTAGAAACGGGTATAGTACTTACGCTTGAACATATCTAACATTCTCTTGGTAATCAAAAATCCACCAGATACATTCACAAATGCAAGCATTACAGACAAAGCACCGAGAGCTTGAGGAATAGTATGTGGTACAAGACCACCTCCCATGATGAAGAAACCACCTACACCGACCATACCAGAGATCGCATTTGTAACACTCATCAGTGGCGAATGTAAAGCAGGAGCAACTCCCCATACGGTTCTGTAGCCAATCAATCCAGCCAGTGCAAATGTGAAGACATTGTTCATGAATAAAGGCCCAGTTGCTTTACCAAGAAAAAGTGCAAGACTCATTCCACCAGTAATAGCTCCGACTTCACGTGTTTGCTTTTGCCAAGGAGTCAATGGTACGGTATTAGCAGCTGAAGCGTTAGCATCGATAATTGAGGCAGCTTTTGGAGCTGGAGGAGCTGGTCGTGGTGCAGTTGGTATGATTTCTCCATTGTGAGTAACAATTGAACCACGGACAACTTCATCCTTGAGGTCAATTCCGAATTGCTTCTCTTCAGGGGCAATAGAGAGAAGAAACTTAGTAATGTTATTCGAATACAAGGTGGAAGATTGAGTCGGTAGTCGAGAAGGAAGATCAGTATATCCTGCAACTAAGTTAGCTTTCCCTCGGAATCCATCATATCACGCCACAAACCTATAATCTTGACTCCTTTATGTTCAATCAGTTGACCTGGAACAGTAACATCACAATTACCACCAGCTTCAGCTGCCAAATCAACAATGACAGAACCGGGTTTCATTGCTGCAACCATCTGTGAAATTAGTCAGATCATTTCTGACAATTTTACGTCTGTGGAAACTTACATCTTCGTGAATCAATTTAGGAGCAGGGCGGCCGGGAATCAATGCAGTGCTAATGATAATATCAACTTCACGGCATTGTTCCAAAAATAATTTCCTTTCGGCCTCCATGAATTCTTTTGACATTTCCTTGCCATAGCCACCGGCACCAGATCCATCTTCTTTGATCTCTACCTCGATAAATTCGGCACCTAATGATTGAACTTGTTCACGTGCAGCTGATCTGGTATCAAATCCTCGTACGATTGCTCCCATGCGTCGAGCCTAATTAGGAAACCCATCAATATCTATGTCACAAAGTAGAATTATATGCTTACTGTTGCAATGGCACTTAAACCAGCCACACCAGCACCGATAACAAGCACTTTGCAAGGAGGAACCTAAATTGATTAATGACGCCCGTAAACAAGAAGCGGATACTCGAGTAAGTACCTTTCTGAAATTCGCTTGATTAGTCTAGAACGCTAGCAACGTATTGATATTTACTTACCCAGCAGCAGTGACTTGGCCAGTCATGTAACGACCGAAATGATTCGAAGCTTCAAGGACAGCTTTATAACCGGCAATATTAGCCATAGAACTAATCACAGTAATGTGTGAGCTATTGTACTTCTTAGCTGCGAGATAGAAGCTTTGCATACCTCAAAGCATCGAAGACTTGAGCTCTGGAAATTCTAGGAATCATATCCATCGCGAAAGAGGTAACCTCTCGATGCGCCAGTTTCTCCACGACATTTTTGTTTACCGCTGGATATAAGAACGAGATAAGAGTTGCATTGGTCTTGAGCGAATCGACTTCATTATTAGGCCCCTCCGCAGTTGGTGCGCGGACCTTCAGAAGAATATCACTTTCTGCCCAAACATCCTTCCTATTTAACACTTTAGCTCCCGCCGTTTCGTATGCCTCGTCTGTGAATTGAGCTTCGGCTCCAGCACCGCGCTCAACCAGAACTCGGGAGAACCCTTTCTTAATTAACAATTGTGCATTTTGTGGAGTAATCGCAACTCGTTTTTCGTTTGGGTATGTCTCGCGAGCTATCCCAATTGTCAAATTCGAGTATGGAGTGGTAATTAAATCCGGCGTAACAGCAGCAGAGGATGCTGTAGAAAGGGACGCAGTTTTCGGGACAGCAGATGTGGTAGAAGGATTAGATGTCGATATATATCTCTTGTACTTTTTCTGGCTTGTCGGATAAAGTGATCGTACGTGAGTAGCTATCAAAAAGACATATTAGTCTCAATCAAGTAATTGATAGACGGAATCGTGAGCTAGAATGAACGTCGGGAATGAAAACATACCAAGACTATCACCAATCTTTGGACCTGGCAAGAGCACTTCTGAATAATTATTGGCACGACACAATCTAAGTATCGGCTTCATTGTTGAAGGCCAGGTCATCCTTTAGACCCGCATCTGTAATTTTGATATTGTTTTTGTGAGAGAGAACAGAACAGAAGAGAAGAGAAGAGAGGAATGGAGAAGTTCGTATGTTGTGTTCTAGGGAAAGGAAGAATTGTTCTTGTGAGGAGGCAGGTTAGAAAGCTGGATGAAATCCAAGAAGAAGCGATATTTTAATAAATCTTAGGAGTACACGAACAGAGAATGAATGTTAAGATCATCTGTCACAATGAATTCTACCGTGTTTCTGTACCATTCCCGAACGAATGGAAAGAGCGTTGGGTGAATGAAGTAGAGAGTCTCGATAGAATTGGAATTGTTCGGATTGATCGTGTTATATATATATGAGACGGAAGAAGGGTGCAACGTGATCGTAGCCAAAACTGGGTATACATAGAGGAATGGTTACCTACCTACCTACCTACCTACCTGTCTACTTACCTACTTATTACATGGTTTCCTTTATAATCTAAACAGGCTGATATGTTGGGATCTGGTCTTTTTGTATGGAATTGGTATTTCAATGACACTCTCGATGAAACCCTCTTTTGCCTATCAGCCAATTTAGCTTTCCCTCATAGGTTTATTGGATTGACTGAAGGCCCTTGCTATTTCATACCCACGAGCTATTCCTGGATATTCCTGACTATTCCTGGCTATTCCTGGCTATTCCTAGCTATCCTTAGCCATCCCCGCGCAATGGATTCACATTTCCCCGCATTCCTCTCACGACAATTGGTTTAATGATTGACCGAGAGAACCAACAAGTAAGAAGAAGAGGCCGTGTTCGGTTGGTGTTACAAGAGGGTTAAGAGAGAGAAAAGAATAGGAAAACAAGAAAGCTTTGGCAATTGGGTGAAATGGAAAGAAAAATCACCCGACCAACTATGAAATGTGATGAAATTATCAATCACGATACACATTGATTCTTCCTTGGGTATGGATTGGAAGGTCCGATTGATGATGCCATGAGATGAAGAAATGCAAGCCTCATAATGCTGTAAGACAGAATGGAATCTTCTGTGCACAAGCCACGGATTGAAGCACATATGCACGTGATACTGCAACTACCGGTAATCCATCTAGGTCCCAATTTTTGTTCTCGAATATTTCATTTTGTGAAAAGTCGTAGGCTGATGGATGACTCTACATGATCTCTTGTTCATTCAATATTACCAAACACACACATCGCTATCATTACCCATACTCCAAATCAATCCAAATCAATCCAACACGTGATACTCCGCAATCCGCATTCCCCCCACTCCGGTCTTCATTGAACCTCATCACTACCCCTTCATTCTTTATCATCACCAAACTTGTGACAAAGATCCTGAAAGCTCAACTCCAATTCAAAATATCTAGTCTCCTCTTTTCCAAGATCTCGCTGCAATTCCAAAACTCGATCATGGGAGCGACGTTCCTCGACCACACTTCGAATGATTTGCTCTTCTTTCTTCGCAGATGCAATCACTTGCTCGGAGTATCTTTCCTCCAGCATACGACATTTCCTCTCCAGTCCCTGATTTCTGTATTCTGATTCCTTGAGACGTGCCTCTAGCTCCACGGTAGCTTTTGCGATTCCCTTTTGTATTCTATCAGCTTCCGCATGAATGCTTGTTCGGCTGGCGTTGTTGATAGCTTTGGCGTCTCGCAACTCGATCTCCAGGGAATTGATCGTACTGGCACAGCTGCTATGATCTTTCTGTATATCTAAGAGAGCCCTTGAGATATCTTCGAATTCGGAGGACTTCGTAGCGAGAGCTTCTGTGGCTGTTGATAGCTCTTGTTCCTTTTCCCTCAAAGCCGCAGTGTTCTTGGCCAGTTTGGTGTTAAGCTTTGCTAGTGCTTTTGTGGAACCTTGTTTTATCTTTTGCAAGTCTGCAGAAGCTTGCTCTGCCTTGGTAGTCGTAGCCTCCAGATTAGCAGCCAACTACCCAAGTTCCTTCCTGTGCTTGGTCTCAGCATCTAATTTCGCTTGACGAAAGGCCTGTTCTTGTGCTATCGCTTCTTCTTTGAATTTGTCGATTATGTCTAGTAGTTCATCCGTCTTCTTTTCGTAGATACTGATATTTCTATCCACAACCTGTGTTACAGCCTCTACGAGCTTCACCTTCAGTTTCTCATCGCTTAGCTTAAGTTTGCGTAGAACAACTTGATGTTCAAGTTCGCTCGATCTTTCTTCTTCGGAACGGTATCTGTAGTTGTCGGTTTGATTTTTCTGGACGTACTCTCTAATCTGTTGTGTGATGTTAGCTAGAGTACGATATTAATAAGCTGCTGGAAACAACTTACCTCATATAGAGCTTGGAAGGGGTCTGGTCTTTCAGACATTTTTTTAACAAGAATCTTTATCGTAAAGAGTGGGAGTGTTTCAGAGTGCAGAACTTCGAGATCTGATCCTTAGACTAAGAGAGTTCTTGCAGAGGGAGACAATGGAAGATAGGATGATGTAGAAAGAGACAGTCTAAAGAAAATACTGTAAAAGGAGATTTTTTCGTGTCGAGAAAATCGTTGTTGTGATACAGAAAAGTGAAAAGATGCACATTAACTTTTCATTCTCCTCTAAGCTCGGGGTAAAGCTCCCTCGTCTCCGAGAATTCTGCCTGGCAAGCTTGTTATCAGTATGTCAATAGTCTATTTCTTGCGGTGAATCTTTATAGGTGAATGATGGAAAGTGAATTTCGTTGGAGGGATAAAGTCCGAGCTTGATAATTTTCTTTATAAGAGAAAGATAGATGTATATTAATATCATCTTATTACCATCAGTCAAGTTAATTAATGGTTTCAATTTGAAGAATGAACATATTGTTTGATCTAAGTTATTATCATCTAACAATAGTCTAATGAGACCTTTCTGTTACTCTGATTACCTCGAGGCATAAGTTGAATGTGATATGCACCCTTATAAGAGGTATCGAGGTATTTTTCTCCTAAATCTTAGAATATGTTTCTTTTTTATTGATAATTGATAGGTGTGCACAATACTCTCATCTCTCGAATAGATCATACTCATCCTCAACCTCTTTTGATTTTCTTGTCTTTAGAAGTCTAAAGCTAGTCTATTTTCTTCTACCTTGCTATGAAAATAGCATTTCGCGGGGCCTCGTTTAGTTAATATGTCATATATATCAATTTTTAATAACTTATAATCTTTTTTAAAAATATTATTCTCATCTCATCTCTGCATTCAACGCCAACACCTGCTGACTCGCTTATCTTATAGAGAGATTATGGAATTAACATCTCAGATATCGACATGATCCTGATTCTCTCTCCTTTTAAACGAGTGTATCGAATGTATCTCATAGTATTAGTGCAAGTTCTAACACTTGTTGAGGCATAATCTGGATTTCTTTTAAAGTGCTTTCAACACAGAATTCGGAATTAGATACCATTCTTCATTTCTCAAACAAGAATATTCTGCTACTTCTGTCTCGAATATGGGAGATAGTGATCTATAGTGATCTATCGTTAAACTCCCGAATAATATTGATAAAAAGCTCTTATTTGATCATATGTCGCTAAACTTTCTTCCGCTCGAAATCTACAATGAAAAATAGTTATAAGCGGCACCTCCCACTTCCTCATCATTCTATTTTGACACATAGATTTCCCTTCTCAAATATCGATAATCGAAACGTTCCTGTCTCGGGGATATAAAACACCACACTTCGCTCAATTGGGAGACGAGAGCGGTACTGATAAAATTATCTGAGGATATCAAATAAATGGCGTGACTCCAAAGAACCAAACTCTACTGGAGAGTAGGTAAGAAGAAAAATGGCTGAATCTCTTCTCAATAAGACGAAGAAACTTTCCTTCGTTGCCAGTATCTTTATGTACCTATAAATGGTATGTGCTTGACAGACTGTTTACAATATATAAGATAAACCGATCATGGTTAGAATTCTCTGACAGATTTCCTGGAAGTAAAGGATTTGCGCTCGCTAAAGAACTGAAAATATAGCATTGATTGCAGAATAAGTTCAAACTTGACATTTGGCGTTTTGCCTTGCGTGAAAGTATACAATCCTATCCGCGACGAATGTTGAAACACAAAAATAAATGGATTCTAACAAACAAATAAAAAGATGATGAAAACGGGAAATCCCAAAGCAATTTTTTTACATCTAAATCTATTGTGGCATATATGGCAAAAAATAGCAAATCCAACCCATGAACAAACAGTACTCCCATACCCAAACGCCCACCATTCTATTCTATCATTTTCTAGATCCATCAAACCTTTACAAGGATGGTAAATAATAGTATATCGACAAAATGAAAAATGCAGACAAAAACAACACAAAAAACATAACGAATATAACAAAACAAAACAGCAACGACAACATATCAAAAAATCATACCTTTCCCAAGCCACCTACCTCTATCCAATATATCCACTTCCAGACGGCTTGTCTCGCCTCGAATTTTTTGATGGGTCTTCAACAACCTTTTTTGTACTCCTAGATCGTAGTGGTCGATTATCACTACTAGAAGTATTTCGATCATCCGATGAAGTCGATGGAACAGTACTAAGAGAGTCGCGTGTTCTTGGTTCTGCAGTTCTGCTGCTACGCGAAGGTTCTGCTCTCCTCTCAACTCTGGGAGGAGCTTGCTCGCCTCTGTCTCTTTCTCTGTCACCCCTTTCTCTGTCACCTCTTTCTCTTTCACCTCTTACTTTATCACCTCTTTCTCTATCACCTCTTTCTCCGCCCCTCTCTCTATCACCTCTTTCTGTATCGCCTCTTTCGCGGCGGGGTCCACGTATCGGCATCTGTATATACTCAGGACTGGAACTTGCAGCTAAATTTCGACGCCCATCTGTTGTAATGGGTCTTCTAGCATCTACTCTCGAGGATGATCGAGATATATCGATTGGGTTGCTTGGCTGTAGTGAGCGCGACTTGTCAGAGGTCTCACGTTGTTCTCTTCTGTCTTCCTCTTTATCTCTTCTTTCAGACCTTTCTGGTTGTTTTCCTTTTCCTTTACCTTCATCTTTATCTCTTCTTTCAGATCTGTCTTTCTCCCTTTCTCCCCTTTCTCTCCTTTCTCCCCTTTCGGACCTTCTTGGTTCTTTTTCTTTACCTTCCTCTTTATCTCTTCTTTCAGATTCTTTTGCTCTTTCTCTTTCTCTCCGTCTGCGTCTTTCTGATTGCTCTTCAGGAGTCTCTTCTTGGCTTGAATGCTGATCATCTCGTCTATCGCCCCTTCTATCTCTGCTTCTACTTCTATCGCCTCTTCCATTCCCACTTGGAGTTTCACGTCTCGACCCACTTGTTCCTCCTGTTACTTTACTTGGAACTGCGGATGGGGCTCTATCACTTTGCGATTGAGATTCACTAGCTGAAGTAATTGCCGCGTCCGAACCATTCGGGTTATCCTTAATCAGATCGATTGCGGCACTTATAATTTCGGCATCGCAATCCAACCCCGGGTCTCTATATTGGGCCCATGTCCGTTCACTCGGTTCCCACAGTCCCACAATCTTGGCCCTTTCCATATCTCTGCTTCTTTTCATGATCCAAAATCTCATTTCTGTCGATGCACATGTGACTGCATACATAAAAAGTATATCAGGGTTATCCTTCAGCCATTGGCGACAATATCCTTCTACTTGATTCTCGACCTCGGCAAGTTCACCTGGTGTCATGTAGTCTCTGCCTTTTGGATGTCTTTTTGCTTCAATCATCATCAAAGGCTGTTGGAGCATGTAATGAGTGATATAACCCAGTAAATTATCCGCTTGTTTTTCTGGACCCTTCCTTGCACTGACTCCGAATTGAGATTTCAAGAAAAAACCGTTGTTCCGAAAATACGTCGTTTAACCATCGCTCAAAGAATCCTACTGTTGCGGATTCCTTTGCATTGTTTCCCCCGATATCAAGGTTTGATCTCGCGGTGAGATAATCTTCCTCTAGACGACGAGTAATAAGACCATGGTTTCTCCATGTACGTTTGTCGATATGTGCATTCCAATCGCGCTTCGCCTTTTCATACGTCGAGCTTGCCGATTTATTTCTCAAGTGGGGTCTAATACCTTCATACCATCTCACTTTCCTTTTAATTCTTTCCGTCTCTTTTTCCCTTACGTCAGGGTCGACAGGTACCTCTTCCAGCGGAGTTGGCACCGTCCGCCAGTTAGACGCAGACATTTTTCGTAAGAAGGAAAGAGTAAACTTTCTATATATAAAAAGTTAGTATGTATGATATACTCATATGTAGCAGTTCAATCCTGAGTCAAGGTTGCGATCCTCATACTTTACTGAATTGCAATATATATATCAACTTTCAAATTTGCATCCGCTGTATCCGAACTAATTCTCCAAGAACACTCTCGATTTCAACTCAAAAAATTCGTTTATACTTCAAACAGATAATGAGAGTAGTGATTATAAATGTAGTTCGTGTAATGTTGCTATGATACGAATTGATCGTCGTCGAGTTGGCTCTCTTTATATTGAAGTCCTAGTGCTTCATCAGAATAATATCCAACAAATACATTGCCGTTACGTAAAGACCTCATCCCAAATCACCGGACCTACTACTATTCTCAATAATCTTCACGTATATGCTGGAGTCGTTAGTGTAGGACAAAAGAGGCTTAAGATTCTAACGTGAAAGTAACGATACTCCCGACAAAATTTTGGGCGCAGTATCAATCTCGTGAAATTAGTGTCCGAGAGATAGATCCTTACTGGATGAAGCTCATGCCTTTCATCAACTATAGGACACGACTAAGGTCTCCTAAACAGGTTTGTGGGGCTTGGCCTGAACTTTTTGTCAAATCCAAGTTCGTAGCACGACCGGCTGTCCTCCAACTGTCCTGCTAGCATACATGGGAAAGGGGCGCGGAGGGCCCATGACAGACGACCCTAAACGCCAACCTTATCGTTCGTAAGTCGATTTGGTTGGGTTGGGTCTCGTAAGCAGGTTACGGCGTTAGACGCTACAGCCTTTCACAGTGGATACTTGACTACAAGCGAGAGGACAAGCGATGGTCAAGAGGTTGTGCACCCGAAAGGGAAGATCAATATAGGAATAGCTATGCAATGTTCGTTACATGACTTTTAAATTATTTAGACTTGGGATGAAAAATATGAAGAATCTTCTATAATGATAAGTGAGAACATTTAGCTACCACATTATTTTATTTTCATGACATTTCCTTTCTTCGTGATACTACCACATCAATAAATGATAACTATTATTAATTGACGCTACCCACGAGAGCGTATCAACATCATTACAATCCGCATACTCATTAGTCTGTGTAGCTCGCATTGAATCTCAAAATTGGTCCTAGCCACGTATCATAATCCTCACTCTTCCCCACCTTCCCACCCCATCTCAGCACGCTTGCGAAAAATCGATAATCACCATCTCCTACATTGTAGCTCACTCCATCATCACCAGTAACTTGTGCACTCGTCCAATACTGGATATAATTACCTGGCTGTATTGGGCCACTTGCTACCGTCGCCGTACGGTTCGTGTAAGTCCCAAAAGATAGATAACCAAAGATGGACGATTTGGGAGTGGATTGAGAAGAGATGTAGGGGAAGCTTTGAGATGTGTTGAACGCGTGTGTGTTAGCTGTAATATTTGTATTGGCGGGTAAGAGATCGAATCTGAACGCAAGTGTATATTGTTGTGGAATATCAGCAGCTATTCCATATTGTCTGGTGGGATTGATCTCGAGGAACCCGGTATCTTTTTCCGGTGTTCCAGCTGAATTGAAACCAGCAACCTGGATAACCGAGAAGTATGATGCATTGAATACTGAATAGGGTGGTCCGATGTAGGGGACTGTATATGCTTCACCGGCAGAAGAGCTGACCTTGATGAAACCACCGAAGACGGGAAGATTTGATGCAACGATGCCCATGGGGGGAAGAATAGAAAAATCAACGGTTTTAGACTCACCACCTGCGAGAGTGACCGTAGGGGTGGGGAAAACACCAGTTCCATAAAGCGCAATCTGGTTGTAGTTTCGTCCGGACAATTGGCCATCCGTGTAGCCAGCACCGATATGAGATAGAGTGTAGGTCTTACTAGATCCTGAGACATTATCAATGGTGATATTTGCAGCCCCAAAAACAGTATGTGTAACATCATCTCCAAGAATGATCTGCCCGGGAGAAATTGTGGTTTGCGCAAAGATAGCATCATATGCATTGATGAGACCCGCACCCTGTTGTGCAGTCGCAGAAAGGATTGTACTATTCCAGACCCAATTGACAGGCCTAGCTGTGGTTTGTAGTAGATCCAATATTTGAGATGTGCTGGCGGTGGAAATTGGGATTTAACGAGCGCAAAACTTCCTGCGACATAGGGAGTGGCCATTGAAGTCCCAGATAAAATCGCGTAATTGGAATTTCGGCCTAGAGGATAGGTCGAGAGGATATGTCCGCCAGGTGCAGAAATTTGTGGGTTTTAAATCATAAGTGAAATGAGTCGGACCGAAATTCGAGTAATAATCAACCAAGCCTCCTGAGTGTTGCGGAGGGCTCTTGAATTGGTTTCCCGTGAATCTTAAAGTGTAGTTAGGAAAACCTCCAACCGAACCATGATTGTTGACAAGAGTAATTCCATCATCGGTGTTGAGATTGATATATTGTACTGCGCCAAAGTACGAAGGACTGAAGACGTTATACTCGAGTAAGTAAGAATTTGCGATGTCTGAATTGTAGCCCACGACATAGACAGGTTTTACCTTACTTGAACCCCAATTCGAAGCAATCGAGTTCGGATTGCAGTAAGTAGTCGTTTTGAATGCCTCGAAAGCAAAGATTGTGGCATTTAAAAGACCACTTTGACTGACAGTATTGAGAGCAATAGTCCATGCTGAGCTATCACACCCATCAGATACAAGATATACATATACAGAAACAGTAAGGTTGACTGGCCAGACAGATGCATAACCGAGAGTGGAATTGGCAGAATCCAAGGCCGGATAGACAAGCGGAAAATCTCTGTTTGCAATGGCTCCAACAGCGATGGCACCAGGCTCCGTGGAAGGGTAATCTGCAGTGAATAACTCTGTAGCATATTGACCTAGAGAGCCTTCATTCCCGACTGCCACAATCACAGCAATTCCGGCTTGGGTAATGCTCTGTACAACAGAAGCCAATGGATCTGGGGTCGAAGGGTATTCAGTTCCAACCGCAAGAGACATGCTGATAATATCAACACCATCTTCTTGTGCTTTCAACATGCCGGCCATAATAGTGTCACTGCCGCCTGCATTTGCACAATCAAAAGTACGATACATGTAGAGATGAGATTCGGGAGCAACACCGCTGATTGGAAAATAGCCATTTTCAGATATGGGATCCATTCCAAGAATACCTAAAGAACATTAGCTTGTCATCAAATAGCGAAGGGGACAAAATCTGCCCACCTGACACGTGGGTTCCGTGCCCTCCAGTGAGACAAGTGGATAAAGGGTCTGGACTACCCCCCAAAGTTCCGTTATCGTTTACAAAAGAGTATCCGCCAGTTATTTTGAACCCCGTTCCAAATCCTCCACCTAGAGCAGGATGGCGATAATCAACCCCAGTATCTATAATCCCGGTTTTGATTCCTTTGCCTTTGATGCCTTTTGCATGTAGCTTATCGACACCGCCCATCTTGAGAGCTGAGGCTAAATTTCCTGTTCCAGTCGCCGTTGATTGTCTTTTGTGTAACAACGGAATGTTTGCATTGAAACTATCCTCGTTTGTGGAATTCGGAAGTACACCGGGACGAGGGACTTCGTGAACTGGCCAGACACCTACTACTCCAGAGATTTCTGAAAGTTGTCGTTGCAAGTCCACATTGGTGCCACTTTGGGTGACAAAGACAGAAAGCCCTACAAATGCTACAGAATCGAATTCATGAAGGACATCGTAGCTGATTGACGCCGCACGTTTGTGGAAGGTATGACGAAGATCTCGTCTAGAGAGAGAGGTGTCAACTCCCCTTTCCAGTTCAATAATGAATGCCTTATCAATAGTGTTGACTTTTGAATATAAGGTACTATCATCCGTGTTTCTGTATCTCAAGTTACTTTCTGGTAAAGTGACTCCATTTACAGCAGCAACAAAAGCTAGTAACGATGAAGAAAGAAGCATATTCCGGGTCTTCAGAGGAATCCAAATAACTAAGTGACACACACTTTGGAAGAATGATAAGTGGTGATGACATAGAGCGAGCTTCTTTATAGTTCAGTCGCACTTGACCGCTCTGGACTATTACATTGTGTAATTGGGAGGGGGGAGACAATGATTCGGACGGCCCGCAACCCTGTTGGCTTAGCAATACTGACATGTAATCCACTTATTTTTCAAACAACTGTCATTGAAGTTTTGGTTCATCTAATATCATATAAGTATGGACAGAGTTGAGAAGAACCGTTTGTAGATTCCAGAGACTCAGTACCAACGCGATGATGTATGATGATTGGATTGAATGCATATCGAGGTCGGAATTGAAGCTCATCGAAACTACAACAATTGTCGGTCTTGACTAATATTGGATTCAGTACTGCATGTCGATGAAGTGATTTTGCGTAGATTACCATGCATATGAGATGAAGGTTAAGAAGATACTAGGATTTAGACCGGGTATGGTTAGACCTTCAGGAGGCTTGCAAATTAAAGAGTGGAGACAGGAATATGTGAGATTAAGCTTTATTCCCACAATTTCCTTGCAGGCTCACGAGATCTGACCCAATCCTGGCTGATGATTATACATGCATTCAAAGTTGTCGATTTAAAATGGGCAGAAATGAATTTCACGACACTCGATGTCTAGATAACATCCACAAGTCTTGACAGGGAGCAAAGATTTGGCCAATCGCGAGGCGCTGATGTTGTGCTGAACAACCTCAATACAGACAGGGGTCTTTATCAAAAGATGGAACCGAATTCGTTGATCGTCTCATGTCCACTGGGACTCGAGCAGGGTCCCAGGCACTCCATGCATCTAAAAGTTAAAAGAGAAGGTGCTATACACACTCCGGACCGTTATTTTGTAACAGCAAAACGCATTCGATAAGGAAAGTGATGACTTCTGCAGAACAGAACATGTCATATTTATTCATGTAACTGTAGCTGGAAGAACATACTTATTACTTCCTGATTTGGATCCAGCAGCATAAACGAGATACTGC